TATTAATAAATCTCAAAACCATAATTGTGAGCAAAAACTAAATTCACAGAATTGGTTACAATATGATTCCACTTAAATGCATTTTAAAGATGGAGTGACATGGGGCCAGCCCACTGGCGCAAGCAGTTAAGTGCACGTGCTCCGCTGCGGCGGCCCAGGGTTCACCAGTTTGGATCCCGGGTGCACACCGACGCACCACTTGGCAAGCCATGCTGTGGCGGCATCCCATATAAAGTGGAGGAAGATGGCCATGGATGTTAGCCCAGGGCCAGTCTTCCTCAGCAAAAAGAGGAGGATTGGCAGATGTTAGCTCAGGGCTGATCCTCCTCACCAATAAATAAATAAAGAAAGAAAGAAAGAAAGATGGAGTGACAGACACTGGATTTACCTTCCCACCTTAAACAACTAGAGAACCAGACAAAATATATGAAGCAGTGGATTTCAGCAGTGGACAGTAGGCAGAACAGGACTGTGACCCCTGAGATGAGGGATGGAAACCAAAACAGACGGTTAAAGTCTCACTGAGTTGAGGAGACAGACTGAAGTTTGGGAAAGCCAAGGTAGCTAGAATTTATGAGGCGGAGTACTCGAGAGAATAGAGTTTTGCAGAGAGAGTGCTCAAGATCTGGAGAGGTGTCCCTTTAAGTCTTTGACTGAGTACTGACCAAGCATGAGAAGAAATTACTCAAGAGTAGAAAAAAGATCATTGAAAAGACATAGGCAGAACAGTTCCTGGAGCTCACACAGGGCTGGAAATAGTTTGTTTCCGATAGCCAGAATGCAAAGGCATAATACAGAGATCAAGCAGAATCCTCAAGATATTGCCTTGGTAGTGGGGCTAAATTAGCCCCAGAAAAAAAAAAAAAAGGCAGCTCTGGGCTTGTCCTAAAAAAGCTTAAAAGTAAGCCTCATATAAATAAAAGTTCCCTAAGGAAAAAAAAAAAGTAGGCCTCCAAGGGATCCAACTAATTCTAAGAAAGTAAAATGCACACCAGAAATAAAAGCCAGCACTATTTACAGGAATAAAACAAAACCCAGCAACCAACCACGTAAATTCACAGTTGTTTGGCATCCAGTAAAAAACTATCAGCCATTCAAAGAAGGAGGAAAGTAAGGACAATTACCAGGAGAAAAGTCAATCAACTGACACAGACTCAGATGTGACAAACGTGATGGAACTGGCACCTGAGGACATTAAAATTGCTTTTATAACCATGCTTCATACGTTCAGAAGGTAAGGGAAACATGAGCATGATAACGAGAGAAACGGAAGATATAAAAAAGGATCCTGGGCCTGCCTGATGGCCTAGTGGTTAAGTTCAGCGTGCTCCCCTTTGGCAGCCTGGGTTTGGTTCCCGGGTACAGACCTACACCACTCACCAGTGACCATGCTGTGGCGGCAACCCACATACAAAATAGAGGAAGATTAGCAACAGATATTAGCTCAAGGCAAATCTTCCTCAGCAAAAAAAAAAAGATCCAGACATAATTTCTAAAGATTTTATTTATTTTATTTTTTCCCCCCAAAGCCCCAGTGGATAGTTGTATGTCATAGCTGCACATCCTTCTAGTTGCTGTATGCGCAGACATAATTTCTAAAGTTGAAAAATACAGTAAAACATTCTAGTTGGAACTGACAGCAGATTATACACTTCAGAAGAAAAGATCAGTTAGCTTGAAGACATCTAATATGAAGCAGAGAAAGAAAAAAAGACTGAAAAAAATGGACAGAGCATCAGTGATCTATTATATCAACTGATCTATTATACGGGCAGAGTATGTGTCAGAGGAGACAGGGAGGGACAAAAAATTGACAAGAAAATGGTCAAATTTTTTCCAAATTTTATTGACTATAAACCTTTGGATGGAAGAAGCTCAATGAACCCCAAACAGAATTAAGTTCAAAACCACATAAAACGAATCACTATATTGTCTAAGAATAGATACATATATGGTAAAAACAACAGAGGCACAGGCAAAATCAACCAAAATTCAGGATAGTGGCTACCTCTGTGAGGAGGAGGGCGGATGTGATCAGAGAGGGGAACTCAAAGGCTTCAAATGTATTCGTATGTTCTTTTTCTTAAGTGGCATAAAGGGTAAATAAGTGTTTTTTTAAGTATTCTTTAAATAGCATACAGACAAAATATTTCTTGCACATATAATAGGTATTACAATAAAAAATAGAAAAATAAATTAATGAACATGTTCGTTCTCCTTCTGTGTTACTTATAACAAACTAGAAACCTGAGAGTCCTCCTTGACCACCCCCTCACCAACCAAATCCAATTAATTATCACCAGGGTTAATTCTCTCTCCTAAGTCCTTCTACTACTCTCCATCTCCACAGCTGCACCCTGCTCGAAGCCACCTTCCACCCTCACCTGGAGCATCGAAACCCCTCCCTCTACCCTAAGCCAGTCAAAGAAACCATTTTTAAGTGTGACTAATTCTCTCTCTTCAGCGTGAATCTATCAGTCTTGCCCCACTAGCTATCTGAAGCAAAGAGATGTGAATTGCTCAAGAGCCACACAGCCAGGAAAGGCAGCAACAGGATAAATCTATTAGTCTTACTTGAGAGCCTGGGATGTCTTACCCACCTCCCATCCTGCCTTGTGTTGCATAAGATAATACTGGGAAAGACTTAGCGGCCTGCCATCAGGTAATCGCTGGATAAAGGATAGATTGATTTCTTCTCCAATCACCCCCTCACCTCTTTTATCTGCCTAACTCCTGGTTAGTCCTAACCTCTGAGCTCAAACCACAGTTCCCAAGAAATGCCTTCCTAACTCCCTTGGTCGATTGCAGCAAGTCCCTGATATTTGTCCTCACAGCACTCTGTACATTTCTATCATCCCTCCTCCACGAGATTTCGACCTCCACGAGGGCAGAGGCCTGTTTTGCCCACCATTGCAACGTACATAGCACATCCCTGCCCTCTCTGGCTCCTCCCCCTTCCATTCCTCAGTGAAAGTGATGGGTCACCAACAGATCTCTCTTGCATTCCAACAATAAAGCAACCTGGCCTGCTGACCCTACCCGCCTGGCTGCATGTGAGCCAGGTGGGGAGGGGGTTTGGGGAACGGGGAAGGCAGAGACCAGCCCTGGCCCACTAAGCCTGAGACGTCCTGCTCCACAGAAGGGACCTAGTGCCCTAGGTGGGAATGAAAGAGATTTTGGGTACTCAACACCTCAGTCTCTGAGGCCAGTAATTGGGTCACAAACGAGCACCCCCTGGCCTTATTTTGTTCATCAAGTCCACTCCCCTTGCTCGGAGTTTGGGTAGAAGGCACCTGGATGCCCAGCCCAGGTATGCTGGGGCCACTAGGGGAATAGGCCTAGGTGGCTGTGCAGGAGGGAGTCAGGGTGGAGGTGGGAGGGGCAGGGGCGGGCACAGCCAAGTCTGTGGGACTTCCCCAGATGCCCAGAATAAGTTTCAGTGCACAGAGGTTCGGCTCCTGTCCTTAGCAGCACTGAGAACCTTCAGAATTTCTGTCCGTGATCTCTCTGCCCTGCAGCAAGGCACCGTCACGCTCTGAATCCTGTGTCCAGCACAGGGCATGACCAAGGGTAGACGTCCAGGAAATGAGAGGGAAAAGGAGGTCCAGCTAACCCCCATGAGCTCTCAGCTCTGACTCAGGTGCCTCCTTGACCAGTCTTTCTTCTCTGACACATCCCTTCCTTGTCTCTGTGCCCCCTGAAGTCCCCATGGCTGTGGTGTTCTTTGTATTGTGGGATCAAAGAACATTTGTTGAATGAATGGAAGCTTCCAGGTTGACTCTGAGCACTTGCTCGGTCCAGCATTCTCTCTGCTTGGAATTCTCTTTCCTCTTTATTCACCTGCTCAGTTTACCTCCACATTTAAGGGATTACTAGATGTTGCATACACTCGCTTACTCAAAGGTCACCTCCCCCAGAAAGCCTTTCTGACCTCCCCACTAGGAGCACTTCCTCCCCACGGCCACTGCACCTATGTGGACCCCTCAGTCCCTAGACCAAGGTGGCCCCTTGACCACAGGAGCGAGACCTGATTCATCTCTCTGTGGCCATCACTTGGCAGTGCTTGGCACTGGACTGGGTGCAGACAACACCTGTAAAAGGCATCATATCAGGAGTACACAAAGGCTGTTTGGGATCCCAGCTCTGCCACTTGAGAGCTTCGGCAAGTTCCTTTTGATTAGTTGCTGGTCAGTAAAATGGCTGGCTGAGAAGTCCAGAAAGAGGTTCTGAGCTTCCTGGCTGACTGCCAGGATAGTCATTATGCCCTCACCCCAGAGAAGCAGGGCAGGACAGGGCCTTTAATACCTCGTATGTGGAAGTCCAGGTACCTGGACTTGGTGGCGGGGAGCAGGGGAAGTTACAGTGGGGTTCATCCTTCTCTGCCGAAAACAGAGCCTAAAACGAGAACAAAGTACCGATGTTTTATTTGGGTGGTGCAGACCCAGGGCACTGAGAGTGAGAAGAAGGAAGTGAGGCAGGGAAGAACTGGAGGTAATGCAGGGTGACAGTAGGTTGGGTCCTGATTCATGACAAGCCTCCAAGAGGCATAGCAGGTGTGTCCCCTGGCTACTTGGGAGATCTCCCCATTGGCTGTACTGTTTGGAGAAATGGTGCCTTGCAGCAATTCACGGAAGGGAGGGAAGAAGAAGGACTCTATCTGCCTGGCTCTCTCCCATCTCCATTAGTCAAATCTTACCCTAAGAGCAGTGACTCCCCCACACTTCTGGGTTGCTAGTGGCTACTTGAGATCCCAGATCCCATGCCCTGTGGTGAGGCATTCCATCCAAGTCTGGAAGTGGTGGGAAGAGACAGAAACTCTGGGCCTGTGGCTGGTAAGTGCCAGAGAGAATCTGATTTGGTACATGAGATGTGTCCTAAACAGTCCAATACCATTCTTCTCATTTACCGGAAGAGGAAGCATGGCAATGTTCAGACCTTTCCCAAGGTCACCAGGTTACTAAGTGGTAAATTCAGAATTTGAACCTAGTCTGGCTCTGGAAATTGTGGACGACCAAGACAAGGCACTTGGATTTTATGTAGCAGACAAAGGAGAATCACTACAGGGTTTCAAGCTGGGGAGTGACATAAGATAAAGAGCTTTTTAATAAAGCTCCCAATCTCCACTTTGCTTCATCTTCCCACGTGGCTAACTCGGCAGAAGACAGTTTTTGAGGAGTCCCTGACTGGGTCCAGAGCTCATGTGGGCTTCAACACTGCCTCATAATCTCTGTTTTCATCTAAGCCTACACCTACCAAAGGGACTAGCTGGTCAGAGGCAGGCAGGATCTGGGTGGACATGCCAAAATGAGAGGAAGAGGAGAATGACCTAAAGACCAGGAGCAGGAGGACCAGCCATCTGTCCATTGTTGGCCTGTGGGTCTGTGGATCCTAGCATCTGCAGATGAGTCCTGTGGTGTTGCCTGAGATGGTCAGATCTCATGAATTGTCGGCCGCACTGATCACATCTATATGGTCGATATCTGGTGTGTATCCGCGTATGTCGTCCAAGCTCATCAGAACGAAAGAAAGACCATGTACAGCCTTCCCACATGCATTTATAGGGCCTCTCACCTGGGGGGAGAGACAAGGCAGAGAAGGAATTAGGTAGAGGAATGGGCCAGGAATGAAGGGGTCTGACTCTATGAGGCAGAGCAGTCAAGGGTGAGGAATCAAAAGGAAAAACTTAGGCAAGCAGTAAGGAGGCAACACAATCAGCGGTGCCCCCTGCCACATCATCTTGACACAGTCATACTGGACTGTGGGAAAGCAAGTTGGTGGGACCAGTATAGCTTGACCCGAAGCTTGAAGGATGATGAACCATTATAAACCAGTGGTCCAGCACAAATCTAAAGCCCAGAGACTTCTCCACCCCACCCCACCTGTCTGACACCTCATTCACCTGTGTGTTTGCGCTGGTGACTCACGAGGTGGGAGCGCTTAGTATATGCTTTTCCACAGTTCTCATACTGACAGTGGTAAGGCCTTGAAACCGGGGATCTCCTCCTGGGAGCCCTTTCCTGGGGTCTGAAATTCTGCTCTGCTCTCTGTGGAGCAGGAAAGGGCTGCTTGGGTAGGAAGAGGTCTTCCTGGGAGGCTGGCTGGCTCACAAGAGAGTCCTGGCATTTGAAAGCCAGCAATGTTGGGGAGCCAGTTGGGGGAATTCCAAGGTCGTGGGGATCTCTAGGGGGTAACATCTGAGCCAAAGAGGGGAGCGCTGCTTGGGCCTCAGTGGAAGGCATGGTTGGGGACAATAACATTTTAGGTGTTAAGGAGTCTCTGTTAGAAGGTACTGTTGGGGGGCCAGAATAAGGCATTGTTGATGCCGTGATGTGGGACATCATTGAGGTTCCACTGGGAGCTGAGACTGGCCCATTGGGGGACATCCTTAGATTCCCATCAAAGGTCCTGGCCACCCCTGGAATACTGGGCTCTCCTAAAGGCATTGTCTGGAGTCCCTTGAAAGTCATCATTCTTGGTTGGGAGGGAGACATTCCCTGACAGTAAGTCATCTGGGAAGGAGTGAGAGTCACTTGGGGGCAGTAGCTCACACCATGCTCAGGCAGCGACATACTAAACTGCAGCCCCATTTCACTCTCATTCTGCCTGGGTGCCTCAGCAAAGACCAAGGGGATCCTCCCCAGCTCTGTGCACTGCGGGACATGTTGAATGACCGGTGGGCCATTGTTCCAAGAGGGGTGCATTCCACTGCTTCCCGGAGATGGAGACACGTCCAAGATGGACATTAACTTCTCAGTATCCTTGGAAAGAGAGAGTCAGGTGAAATTCACCCTAGCCCAAATTCCAGTCCCACATGCCCCTCCTCCCCATCTCCAAATCCTACCCTAAGCCTGGCCTACATCATCTCTTGCCTGAATTATCCTGCCTCCAGGCCATTCTCCAGCTCGGGCTTTCTAAGATGCAGGGAGCAAGGTGCAAGCCTAGATCTGACTCATGTCATTTTTCCTCTTTGGCATGTTTTTGTTTTTTATTTCATAAAAAGCAACAAAGAGAGTAAATAAAATATCCCACAACCTACACCTTCAGCAAAACTCTGAGAAAACCCTCAAAACTCCAGGTTATATGTAAGCGTAAGGGTGCAAGAACATCCCAAACCAGCAGGATGGATGCCAAAAGCCACAAAAGTGGGAAGAATGGAGGCCTCAGAGGGGTCCTGGCTTTAGCAAGACTTAGAAACCATCTGCAAATATTTACCTACAGAAGAGGGTCTCACCTGAATGAGAACTGCTGTGCGGAGGTCTGAGATCAAACATTGGGGGACATAAGGAAAAGAGGCAGACTTTAAAAAGCACTTTAAAAAAGGGTGGAGGATTGTCTTGGAAGTCAGGAGCAGTATCCCTCCATGACTGGTATGAAGGGAAGGAAAGAAGGGGTTGGTAGTAGAAGCTCTTGAAATAGGATAGTATCCAAGAAGAATCCAAATAGAATATTTTTTTAAGATGTCCATTATTGTAGCAATAGAGAGAGAGCTCTTGAGCTGAGAAACTGGGAAAGCTAGCCCATCGTCCCCCATCCAATTCTCCATTGAGACAGTCCAGAAAAGACCAATCCATTCAAATATGAACACCAAAACATAAGTTAAAAATACAGTATGCATAAACAATACTAACACATCAAAACAGAAACTGAAGATTGCAATTTGCCAAAAGAAAAAGAAAATTCACCAGAAAAATGTTGCCACAGATCAAGGAAAAATTAGCAACATTCAAACACAAATAAAGAAAAAAGTAATTGCAGCTTTTACACCAATTATAGAAACATCATAGAGCAGAAACAGAGGAACTCAAGTTACATCCAGACAAAAGGCTGTGAGTTATATCAGAGGGGAACGAGGGGGCAATGATAAAAGGCACTGGGGAGGCTTCTGTGGTGTTGGCAATGTTACACAGGTGTTTACTTTGTAATGATTCATTAAGCTGTACACTTGTATTCACTTTTCTGTTTGAGTGTAATTTTTTCACAGTAAAATGGTTTTAAAATAATATTGTGAGAAATCAGGATTTTAAGTATAAGTGAAAAATTCTATTATAAAAATCAGAGAAGTAGGGGCCAGCCTGGTGGCGTAGTGGTTAAGTTTGTGCACTCTGCTTCGGCGGCCCAGGATTCGCAGATTCAGATCCCAGGTGCGGACCTAGCACTGCTCATCGAGCCACACTGTGGCAGCATCCCACATACAAAATAGAGGAAGACAGGCACAGATGTTAGCTCAGGGCTAGTCTTCCTCAGCAAAAAGAGGAGAATTGGCAATGGATGTTAGCTCAGTGCCAGTCTTCCTCATACACACAAAAAAAATCAAAGAAGTAAAAATAATGCTAAATTTAAATAGGAGATATTCTATAGAAATAAACTCACAAAACTCTTATGTTCAGATTTTGGTCTCCAATTCCATTCCTTACTAAAAGGAAGAGTCATCCTTGGAGAATCTCCAGACTCCAAGTCTAGAACAAGGAAGGAATAAGTAAGCCAGGTACATCTTATTGTGCCAGAAAATAAGGAAACTGTCAAAGATGATTAGGACTGTGTTAAAAGGACACAGGAAGTGATGCCATGGAAGATGACAGAGTAGGAGGCACCAGCAATCTACGTCCCCACCAAGATAACAATTACACCTGAAAATTTGTCTGATGTAGCTATTTTGGAACAATGGAGTCTATTAAAGGCTTGCAACTTCCAGGGGAAGACTTGGAAGGTAAATTGCAGTTAATTTCAGCTCTTAGGTAGTGGCTACCCAAAAACACCCCTGGTCCCATGGTAGGCAACTATGGACATGTTCCTGGAGCAGCTTGCACTCAGCTTGCAGGAGCCAGAGTGGGCCATAAAAATCTTGTGCTTCAAATATTGGGGATCTGTGTTCTGATCACTGATTGCTACTTCTGATCATGTGTGCAGACACAGAGGTGGGGAGCCATTGTTGCAACTCCTACTGCCATTGTCACAAAACTTTCCTCCTCCAACTGACAAAACTCTCAGCATATTTAAAGGGCTGGCACCTGTTTCTTTCCCCCTCCATTTTTCCCCCTTTTCCCCCTTTGGGAGCCAGACTTTCAAGGACTGGGATATTCAGAAACACCCACACATACCGGGGAAGTTAGCAAGTCACCACACACACCCAAGAAAAGATGCAGGCTCAGAAAAGATCTGAGAAGGTCTGAAGTCTACACCTCAGGCTGATCCCGGCACAAACAGAACACACAACAACCAAAAGAACTATCAACAAACAAAAAATGAAAACAGCAAATCCTGAGGAAGGAAGGAGAATCTGATTTCCAGAGTTTTTGCATTATAAGATTCAAATGTCCAGTTTTCAACAAAAATAAAATCACAAAGCATAAAAAGACACAGGAAAATATGACCTATTCAAGGGGAAAAAAGTCAACAGAAAACATCCATGAGAAAGACCAGATGGTGGACTTACTACACAAAGAATTTATTTTTGTTTTTTTTTTTAAGATTTTATTTATTTATTTATTCCCCCCCCCCAAAGCCCCAGCAGATAGTTGTATGTCATAGCTGCACATCCTTCTAGTTGCTGTATGTGGGACGTGGCCTCAGCATGGCCAGAGAAGTGGCACGTCGGTGCGCGGCCGGGATCCAAACCCTGGCCGCCAGCAGCAGAGTGCACGCACTTAACCGCTAAGCCATGGTGCCGGCCCAACACAAAGAATTTAAAACTGTCTTAAAGACCCTCAAAGAGCTAAAAGATGTGGGCAAAGTCATGAAAATGATGTACGAACAAAATGGAAATTTCATTAAAGAGATGGAAAACCTAAAGAGAAACCAAAAAGAAATTCTAGAGCTGAAAAGTGAAATTAACAACTGATTGGAGGGATTCAAAAGTAGATTTGACCTGGCAGAAGAACAAATCAGCTAATCTGAAGATAGCAGAATTAAAATTATCGAGTTGATAAACAGAAGGAAAAAAGATTAAAGAAAATTGAACAGCGCCTAAAGGACCTGTGAGACACCATCAAGCTGACCAACATATGCATTGTGGGAGTACAAGAAGAGAGAGAAAGGAGCAGAGTGATTACTTGAAGAAATAATGGCTGAAAATGCCCAAAATTTGATGAAAGAGGTAAATATAGACATACGAGAAGCTTAATGAACTTCAAGTGGGATAAACTCAAAGAAACCCACACAAGAAACATTATAATCAAACTGTCCAAAAGCAAAGAGAGAATCTTGAGAGCAGCAAGAGAGAAGCAACTCATCACATATAAGTGATCCAAAATAAGATTATCTGCAAATTTCTCATCAGAAACCTTGGATGCCAAAGGCAGTGGGTTGATATATTCATAATGCTTAAAGAAAAAAAAAAAACTGATAACCAAGAATCTTATATGGGGCAAAACTCTCCTTCAAAAATGTGGGAGAGGGGCCAGCCCAGTGACGCAAGCAGTTAAGTGTGCACGCTCTGCTTTGGCGGCCCAGGGTTCGCAGGTTCGGATCCTTGGTGCACACTGATGCACTGCTTGTCAGGCCATGCTGTGGTGGCATCCCATATAAAGTGGAGGAAGATGGGCACAGATGTTAGCCCAGGGCCAGTCTTCCTCAGCAAAAAGAGGAGGATTGGCATGGATGTTATCTGAGGGCTGATCTTCCTCACAAGAAAAAAAAAATGTGGGAGAAATTAAGACATTCCCAGATAAAAGCTGAGGAGTTTAGGGCCAGCCCCATGGCGTAGCGGTTAAGTGCGCGCGCTCTGCTGCTGGCGGCCCGGGGTTCGGATCCCGGGCATGCACTGATGCACCACTTGTCAGGCCATGTTGTGGCGGCATCCCATATAAAGTGGAGGAAGATGGGCACAGATGTTAGCCCAGGGCCAGTCTTCCTCAGCAAAAAGAGGAGGATTGGCATGGATGTTAGCTCAGGGCTGATCTTCCTCAAAAAAAAAAGAAAAAAAGGCTGAGGAGTTTATTCCCATTAGCTGTGCCCTGCAAGAAATGCTAATGGGGTCCTACAAATGGAAATGAAACAACAAGACAGTAACTTGAAGCCATATGAAGAAATAAAGATTTCTGGTAAAGGTAAATATTTGGACAATTTTAAAAGCTAGTCTTACTGTAATTTGATTTGTAACTTCACTTTTTGTTTTCTACATGATTTAAGAGACTAATTGTGAAACAAGAAATCTATATATTGGTCTTTTCCCAGGTTCCTGACACAGAGCCCCTAAATCCCTTGGAATTTCCTGGGTGACAGAGTATCTTTTGTTCTAACAAGGTGAATCTTGGTGGGCTCCTGAATGGTGGCTGGTCACCAGAAAGACTGAGCCATGATTAGAAACTTGGAACTTTCAGCCACATCCCTCATCCTCCAGAGAGGGGAGGAGGGCTGGACACTGAGTTAATAATTGATCTTGCCTACATGATAAAGCCTCCATAAAAATCCCTAAAGTGCAGAGTTCAGAGAGCTTCTGGGTTATTGAACACATGGAGGTGCTGGAAGGTAGTGCTCCTGGAGAGGGCATGAAAGCTCTGGGCCCCTTCCCCGTACTTCCCTCTTCCCCATACCTCATTCTATGTATCTGTTTATCTGGCTGTTCATTTGTATCCTTTAAAATGTCTTTTGTAATAAATCAGCAGTAGTGGGTGAACTGTTTTCCTGGGTTCTGTGAGCTGCTCTAGCAAATTATAGAACCCGAGGCGGGGGTTGTAGGAACCTGGATTTTTTTTTTTTTTTTGTGAGGGAGATCAGCCCTGAGCTAACATCCGTGCTAATCCTCCTCTTTTTGCTGAGG